AACCTACCGCTTTTGTGGGCGATTATCAATAACAATCTTCCTAACTGCTTCGTACTGCTGTTCTTTGAACTTCAATGTCTTTTCTCCCAATTTTCAAAGCGAAACCAGCGCTTCATGGAGCGCTTGTGTATTTTTATTCATATTTACTATAATAAACCATATATTTCGTTGTGGCCAATTCTTCAGATGCCAGTTTGATATGGATTTGGCCAGAGCCCCTCGTCTCGCTCGGTCGAACGCGAGTAAGAAGGGCTCTGGATACGAGAATGATGCCCGCCAAGTTGGATTTCCGAGCGTGTCGTTCCCAGCCCCTTCGCAGAGCGTGGTCGGCTATGGTTATCTTTCGGCATCCCTGGCGCTCCGCTTGGTTCACAGCACCTCGCACAGACTCCTCAGCCCATTCAGCAAGACCCATTCGTCGGTCAACCTCCAGGATGGTTGTCCCTCGATCCACCCGGATCAATTCCAACTCAATTCCAACGGTCAGGTATACCTTACTTTGTTTCTCCGTTCATGTCTAATTACCCTGGGGCACGTACCTCCTGTCCAACTTTCCCCTCACAGTCGTTTGATAACGCCATGTTGGTCGGCCCCGGTTTCAACCCCGCTTCCCACAAACTGGTTACGGCAATATCGTCGGTCCTTTACATTGATCTGGCAGCCCTTCTGTCCCCGCCATCTGACGAATCGTCCATCCCTACCATGTCGTTCGACGGCCGGTTAGCAATCACTCTTCCCCGCCCCCGGAAGCCCAAACAGATTACCGATGTCGTTCAATGGGCTCAAGCGTTTTCCATATTCTCCTTCGTTCTCATTACCTGGTTCCCCCACCGTGCTGTGACTTGCTTTTGTACGAACTGCTGATTCTACGTATGTATTCGCAATTCGGGGGGGGGGGGACGCCTGGCGCAATTACGACGAGGCTTTTCGCCGCAACGGCGCCGCGCAGGGTTTGTCTGATTGGTCAAACATGAACGTGGAGCTATTTAACATTCACACCGCCGCGGTTCGTGTTCCGCGTTCCCCGAGTCACGTTCAGCTTGCTGGTTCCAATACCCCTTTATCGTCGTTTTTTGCATGTCTTGGAACAGTGGGCGTACGTTGCACTGTCTTTGGCAGGCAGTGTAGATATCGTCATGCAGGGGCGGATCTAGGGGTAGTCAGATTAGTCACGCGACTAACTTAAAAAAAGGCATATAAAAAAAATTTGGACTAAGATTTTTGAATTTTTTCCCAGCGCAAACACTTCTCTTCATTTCTGATCACGCAATCAAAACTCTATCACACTCCAGCATATAAACTTCGATCAGTGTTTGCACATTGAGCCAGCGAATTGATTAGTCAAACGATAAGTCAAATAAGCGGTATTCAAATGAAAATTGACTATTCTGCGTTTTAGTTCATGTGATTTGATTGGTCAAATTTGCTCAGATTACACATTACAGGCATGTTGATTGGTCAGACCTATTTTGACTGACGATTGTGAAATTTTGACTATTTTGACTAATTCTGCAAATAGATAGCAGCTTCTGATTGGACAATTTGCGCAAAAGAGTTAAAGAACATCTCCTCTGATTGGCCTTCTAATCTTCAATTTGGAAGCATTGTGCACTTGGTATATTATATTTAACAAATATAAAACATTTTCCGTGTTGATATACAGTTATATCAACACGAGTGGAAATTGGGAAAACGAGAAATTGTGTGGAAACACGACGCCCGAAGGGCGGAGTTTTTTTCACACAATTCCGAGTTTTCCCAACTTCCACGAGTGTTGATATAACTATATATCAATACGGAAAAAATGTTTTATATTTGTTTTATAATATAGCAATGTCAAAAGCCCGAAGAATAAGAAAAATTTCCGTGTTACAAGCGGCGGAAAATTTCCTGTGTTGACATGGAGTTATATCAACACGGCTCTTAGCCAATCAGCGTTCAGAATTTACAAATGCTATATTATATTATATTATATTATATTATACTATATTATATTATATTATATTATATTATATTATATTATATTATATTATATTATATTATATTATATTATATTATATTATATTATATTATATTATATTATATTATATTATATTATATTATATTATATATTATATTATATTATATTATATTATATTATATTATATTATATTATATTATATTATATTATATTATATTATATTATATTATATTATATTATATTATATTATATTATATTATATTATATTATATTATATTATAAAGCTTTATTTGCATGACCTAATTACAGGTATTGCTAAGTGTAGATTATATATATAAAATGTCAGTAATGTCTAAGCTATAACTTGGTAGCTTTGTTGCAGTTCTGTACAATTTTACAAGCAAATTATTTCGTTTGTATTTATTTACTATTATCGAAATGGACGACGTAGATTTCGAAAAGGTTAAGATCGTTATTTGAAAGTGACGATTAGGAATGCTTACTGGTGTTCTGTGGAGAATATTGCAAGCAGATAAATTCGATGGATGCAAGAAATTAATTGTCTTGGCCGAAACTATCTAGCTTAGATATGTGTTGATTTCTCGAATTCTCGTCGTATATTCCAGGAGATTATAAAGAGTTGTATGGCAATAAGGTAAAGTGGTTTGAATTTTGAACAATAAATCGTTGAATTGAACGTACGATTTGCATAATTGTGCGAGGTTAGGTCCCAAGTTTTATATACTGCATACATATTCATTATGTGTATAAAATTAAAACACCTCAAGTGGCAGAAATTTGATCTCAAATATTTGATCATGTTGGATAAAAAATATTTATTGTGTACATGCTTTATAGAGTATTGACTGACTGATAATAGCTCTGCAAATGTAATAGCTCTACAAATTATAAAGATAATAATAATATAATCTTTGGTTATATTTTTAGATCTGATGCAACTGGAAATTGCTTGTATAGCTCTGTTTATAAGTATCGACAGGTACCAATGACCTAATTTGACCTTGATAGTTTAAATGTTTACAGTGCAAGTGTGAAAGGTCTATTTCGGCACTTATAGGACACTAAAAGCTATAAGCGAAGTACTATGGTTGACGACCACTCAAATTAAATGACTTGGCTTGTTCATGATGCAAATTGACCAGGAAATTATTCCTAACATATGTACTGTAGGAAACGTTATTGATAAATTTTCTGGAACATGTAGTTAAAGTTAAATATCTCGGCTTGCAAAAGACCACTCTCCTCTCCAATAGCAATTAATAACCTCACTCTTGTACACAACACTGACATGAGAAAAACTTCGTGGGGTTTGGTTCTTCATCATCAACCAAACTTAGTCTTTCAAGATCCCCTCCTCCCCCCCCCCCCCCCCCCCCCCCAAACATTCGGGCTTTGTAGACAAAAGCTGATGCCAAATATCGGGTCTGATCTCATTGGCTTGAGACAAGTCCATTGCATCTTGTGACCAGTTAAATTTTTCAACAGACCAGGGCTTGAAATAACAACGGATCACCAACCAATAATAGGCAAGAAATTGCTTATGATCGGTGGAAAAGCAGGGTTTCCAACCTGAAAAAGCAGGGAAAGTCATGACTGCCGATCACTATGATCGGGAACTTTGGGAACATTATTTCAGGCCCTGACAGACAAACTCCATGTTGATAGTATGTGACTGTATAGATACAGTATGTATAAGCATAGTATAGGAATAATAGAATACTGTGTTAAAAACCTTGCCAATTTAATATTTCAGATAACTAGATCAGTAAAGTAATAGTCATTTGTAATGAAATATTTTGTATTTGAATCGACTGTGATTAAAATATGTTTAAAATGCCAGGTAAAATAAACTTGTTTAAAATGCCAGGTAAAATAATCTTGGCTTCCAATGAAGCTGCAGCTTTGAGGCACCATTTCACTTGCGATATTATACATTTTCATAGTGAACAGTACTAGTATATAACAAGATGATGAATGTAATTAGATTAGACATAGGTTAGTAATAGGAGGACTGGGGAAGGGGCTAAAGGGAAAAACAAGGCAATTTCACATCCACGAAATGTCCCATATTGTCACACATTTTTAACCAAGCTCCTTTTGCTGCGGTGAAAGGTGTGAGGTGGGTTTATGGCACCTTAAAACCAGATTTCTCATTTTAGGTGGTGTTCATTGTTCATTTTATTGTCACCCATTTCTAAGTTCTAGTCAAACTCCTTTTGCTCTTGCAAAAGGTGTGAAGGCAAGCAATCTGGTTTTAAAGAGCCAGAAACCTGTGCTTGTGTTCAACTTTTACAAGGAGCTGTCCTTGTTGGATCGCGGTTTACTATTTTTGGTAAACATATGTTTCCTATAGGCATGCTGATGGGCGAAGGTATACACTCTAGGCCGAAACAGTCTATATATTAATATATCATATGCTGAACATTGGCAGGTACGAAAATTATGTCATTTACGCATTTGTAGTTTGATAAAACAAAATATCTATACTTCCACAAAAATTGGACTATCATCCTGACATCAAATGACGTCATCACGTTTTGCGTCATCGATGACGTCATAAAATTTTGACTAACGTGCGAAAAATCCTAGATCCGCCCCTGTCGTCACGCATGTAATCGTTTGGCATGTGGGGGGTCGCATAGACGTATCTTTTGTCCTTTTAACGTCGCTGCGGAAACTATCCAGTCACACACACAGAGGGCATCGTAAGCGCTTCTCCTCAAAACGTTGATATGTTTAATTTTTCTGTTCCGTTGTCGATTCTCCGCAGTACGATATTTATTCAGCGTGGCGTAGGTCGTGTTGTTCGTTAACTTCACTCGTCGGCATCGTTGTTTTTCTTGACTGATAGAATTGTCGTACGTGTGGTTAAGCCAATACATACATACATACATACATTTGTAGTCTAGTCTTTTTAGTCTATCATTAGCCAATAAAATTGTATTCTAACTCGTTTTGTGTTGGAGTGGTTTCTCGGTCGGGCAGGCTACGTATCTCCCATCTTTGATCTTTTTTCTAGGACCAACACCACTCCCCTTATCCTCGTTCACGATCGGCTCTATTTTCCCTCTCAATCTCGAAGCATTTGTGCACGAGCTCCGGGAGTATCCTAGTCCCCGCAAGGAGTATGTGTTAGCGGGAATTCGCGACGGTTTCCGTGTGGGTTTCGTTCCCGAGCTTGTGGTCCTTCGTCCATCGCTTCGCAATCTCAAGTCGGCGTCTCAACACCCGGACGTGATCGACAAATATCTCTCGGCGGAAGTCGCTCACCGCCGGGTGGCTGGTCCTTACCCGTACCCCCCCCCACTACCCTCTCTCCAAACCAGTCCGTTTGGGGTTATTCCGAAACGTCGTTAACAGGGGAAGTGGCGCCTCATCTTTGACCTTTCCTCTCCCCAAGGAGCAAGCGTTAACGATGGTATACCTAAGGATCCCTTCTCTCTGCTGTACATTTCCGTTGACGACGCTATCAGATCCCTCGTTGACATTGGCCCCAGGGCCCTAATGGCCATGTTCGACGTGCAAGGCGCCTACCGTAACATTCCGATCAACGTCTCCGACCGACATCTGTTAGGCATGTACTGGTGAGACTCTTTCTATGTGGACTTGGTGCTACCTTTTGGCCTCATTATCAGGTCTGCTCTATTCATTTTTGATTCGGTGGCGTCCGCTATTCATTAGATTCTTTCAAACAACTACCACGTTCACCCGTTGTTCCGCTACCTCGATGATTTTTTAACGTTGGGTCCCCCGTCGTCTCCAGTGTGCCAAGCCCACGTCGACACCTCGTTTACCGTCTTCAACCACTTGGGTCTTCCTCTTAACCATGAGAAATGCGAGGGGCCCGCAACCTGCTTGGTGCTTTTTGGTATTGAGCTCGACTCGGTCACTCAAATTGCTAGGTTGCCAGCCGAAAAGTTCAACCGTTCCATGTCACTCCTCCAGTCTTGGTCCAACAAGCGTACTTGTCACCGTCAGGAATTAGAGTCCTTGATTGGCCACCTCAACCACGCGTGCAAATTTGTCCATCCTGGGAGAACGTTTTTGAGTGGCTTAGCACACATATCTCCTCTTCCGGCAGACATTCGGAATGGTCCTTGCTGCTGTTTGTCACGTGGATGCACTCGGTTCATGGTCTCTCTGCTGCGACAATCTCCGTCTACCTGGCGTCCGTCCGCTCGCTACATATAGATAGGGGCTTTCCTGACCCTCTCAAAGATACTTCTCGCCTTCATCGCGTGCTTCGCGGTATCAGACGGTCCTGTTCTGCTCGCCATCCTACTCGTCTGCCCATCACCCGGTCTGTCCTCGCCGCTATTCAGGCGGCTCTTTCCGCGGACTCGTACGATCATAGCATGTTTTGGGCGGCCTGTTCTCTCGCGTTTTTTTGCCTTTCTTCGGGTTAGCGAATTTACCTGTTCGGGGTCGTTTGATCCCCTGGTCCACCTGTCGATTTCAGACGTTTCCTTTGATACGTCGGGTTGCCTTCACCTCTTCATCAAGACGTCAAAAACGGACCCGTTCCGCCGAGGCGTGTCTCTCTCCATCGATGCGTCGGGAAAACCCATCTGCGCCGTATCTGCGGTTCGCCGTTACCTTCGGGTTCGACGCAACGCTCCCGGACGACTGTTCGTGTTATTCGATGGCTCTCCGCTAACACCGGTGGTGGTCAACTGTTGGCTCCGTGCGATTTTATCCCACTTGAGTATACGTGGTACCTACTCCAGTCACAGTTTCAGGATTGGCGCGGCGACCACAGCAGCTTCTGCGGGCATCCCGGATCACTTAATTAAGACATTAGGTAGTTGGTCGAGCAACGCGTACCTTCTTTACATTCGGACTCCATCGCCCATGCTACCATCAATAGCTGCCGTGCTGGCATAAATCGAACCGTTTTGGAGGAGGGTTCGAGTGCCTCGAACCCCTCTCTCCAGCGTTGCTGGAGTTGTGCCCTGGAGAGGTGTTGCTCTCGGCACTCGAGAACAGCTAGGTTAAATGTAAATACGTTACCAAGTCGTCGATACCTAATTTGTGAACGTGGCCATAACTAAACGCAAACTCTCTACCCACGGTCATGGCTTCGACCGAACATCCTGTTCAGTGGTACTACAAACCGCGAAATCACTTATCAGATATTTACCAGTTACGATTGAGGCGAGCTTGTTAACCGGGTTTATGAAATAAATGATACTAAGAACGAGCTGAGTTGTTGTACTTGTTATCAGAATAGAGGGCCCCAGGGACAGCTTGGCAAATGCTAATGAGGGCATTTGCATAACCTGCCTTATATAAGTTGTTTACGCCAGTAGCTCATTCTCAGTCGTGACATTTAGTCGTTCCCATCTCCCCTCACCCACGGGGGTTCTTAGTCGTTCCCATCCACTCCCCCTCACCCACGCCCATCCGTAGCCTTCCCGGAGGAAGCCCACAGCCAGCCCCGTCGCTTGGCTCGCTACCAGTCGATTCCCCAATCTTAGTTAAGTACCTTTCCCTGTTCATGATCTGGCACCTCGCGCCAGACTCGCTGGGTTAACGACCCTGGTATCTCATAATCCTTCGTCTGTCGCATCGTCATTCCCGTCCTGTGTTCGCGTCAATCAGGTCAACAATCGGCCCAAACTCGTGTGTGTCATAATTCGTTCCTTATAGTTATACAGTGTCTCTTTCGGAGCGGATCTTGGTGCCCTTGCTCATCTCCACTTCCTTAGAAAGTGTGATTGTGGTACTACAGGGGAGAGGTGTTGTTCTCGGCACTCGAGAACAGCTAGGTTAAATGTAAATACGTTACCAAGTCGTCGAACCTAATTTGTGAACGTGGCCATGACTAAACGCAAACTCTCGACCCACTGTCATGGATTCGACCGAACTTCCTCTTCAGTGGTACCACAAACCGCCAAGTCACTTATCAGATATTTGCCAGTTACGATCGAAGCGATCTTGTTAATCACATATAAAGATACGACACGCTTATAATTTTTCTTTGTGTTTTCCTGCTGAATTATTAATGAGTTTTTTAAATTTCAAATAACAAACCCACCTATACAAAGGTCCCCCTCTACATGTGGGTTTGACTTAGCCTCTAAATATATTCTACATGTAGTTGCTACATATAATGGTCAACTGCACGCACATGCTAAATATTTTAATTACATGTTTGCCACCAAACAGAGGGTCAATACATAATGAACAATTGCTAAAGCACAGCAATAAGTTTCTTGTATTTTTTATGTAAAATAATATGCAAAACAAGGTCATATAAGAAGTTTAATACAACCAATATTCTTATTCTCATGCAGCCCATTCCTTGGTTCTGTAATGTTAGTCTTGATCTTGAGGAGACATTGATTGTTATTGATTGTTATTGACTTTATTGACACTTCCCTAAAGGGGCTTTTCAGTGACAAAAATATATATACATATCAATTAATTACTATTATTATACATCAGATGCTAAAGTTATATAATAAGATCACGCAATTACTTTATACACAAACACAACATCAAAATTTTGACAACAAGATTAGCAACAGCAGCATACAACGTACATCAACGTCATCAACAACGACAGCAAAAACAACAACAACAACAACAACAACAACAACATCAACGACAATAACAACGACAACAGAAAAACATGCCCTTAGGCTAACTATCTAAAAATTGCTGAAGCAGTTCCCGTTTCAGTTTAATTTTAAAGCTTGGAATAGATTTGCAAAGTTTTAAGTCAGGGTTAATGTTGTTCCAGAGAGTGACAGCTCTGTAATGGAATGTTCTTTGTCCTGCAGTTGATCTGTATAATGGAACGTCCAGCTGTTTAGTATTTCTAGTATCGCGACCACTAACTTCACCTCTCGTTTTGAACTGAGACGATAAGTAGGCAGGTGCGCAATCATTCATGCATTTGAAAGCTAATAAAGCATCGCGACTGTACAGATGTGACTTCACGGGAAACCAGCGCAGTTGCTTAAGTATCAGGGTGATGTGGACTCCTTGAAGTCGGGATAGGTTGCTGCAGGAAGTATTTGACCAAAGCGAGGAACAATAGTAGAGTTTGCTAAATACTAAGGCGTTGATGACAGTTATTAAAACGTTTTTACGGAAGACATGCTTAGCGCGATTTATCTGGCAGAGAGTTGACTTGCAGGATGAAACAGTAGAAAGGATATGATTGTCGAAGGAGAGGATTGGACCAAACTTAACTCCGAGATCTTTCACTGATGAAGCAGGTGTTAGTTTCTTACCAAGTAGCGAGAGTCTAAAATCAGGTAACGTCGCGAGCATTTGGCGGCTTCCGTAGACCATCAATTTAGTTTTGTCTGGATTCAGCAAGAGCAGGTTATCAAAACACCAGTTTCGCATTCTAATCAAATCCTCGTTTAGATCAGTCAGCGCAATGTTCGAGTCATCGATTCCGAAGGACAGAAGGAGTTTGGTGTCATCAACATACGATTCTGATGAACAATTTTTGGCGACTGACGGCAAATCATTCACAAAAATACTGAAAAGTAACGGGCCCAGAATACTTCCCTGTGGGACACCGCTAACAACTGGCAATTTCTCAGATAGAGCAGAGTTGATACGTATTGCTTGGTATCTCTCGCTGAGGTAACTTTTAAACCAACCCAGGCATCTAGACGAGACACCAACGTCCTCCAATTTAGCAAGCAGTATATTATGGTTAATGCTGTCAAAAGCTTTGCTCATGTCGAAAAGAATAACTGCTGTTACTTTCTTCTGGTCAATTGCTTTTAGAATAGAGTCGGTGGAATGAATAAGGGAGGTTTCCGTTGAATGCCAGGTTTTGTTGCCACTTTGATGCACAGAGAGACGGTGATTGGTGGTACGACGTCAGTTGGTGGAGTGCTACACGCTCACATACGTTTGAAAGAACTGGTAATAATAGGGAAATGGGTCGGTTATTGTTCGCCAACTCATGATCACCTTCTTTTGGAATGGGAGTTACTTCCGCGATTTTCCAAGTATTCGGGAATATATTGTTCGCCAGAGAGTTGTTTATGATTGAGGTTATCCATGGCGAAATAACGGGTAAACAGTCCATTGACAGTCCATTGACAGTCCATTGACATTGCTCTGTAGGTATTTAAAGCATATTGTCCCTGTTTTGAATTTCAGAACAAAGTCATCCTGCCCAATAAACAGGCGTGATGGATGACCTAGAAGTATACAAATACTTTGTCGGTTTGAGAGACCCTCCTCTATAAGTGGGTTTGAGTTTGCCTCCAAATATGTTAAACATGGTGCTACATATAAAATACAAAACAACGAAATAAATTTTCAAAATGCTTTCAATTTTTGGAGTATCCATTGTTTTGTATTTTATCAAAATTCTCAGTGGTCCCTGTAATTTGTGCTACATATAGTGGTCAACTATACATGCTAAATATTTTCATTATATGTTTGCCACCAAACAGGGGATTACACATACATCTAAGTTATTGACAACCAAAGAATATACAAATAGATTAATTTTCGCTTTATAAACCGACAATTTTGATCACTTGGACATATCACTAACCTCGTTTTATTAATACGGGACTGTATAGCTTATTCATTTGACCAATTTTTACATTATTTTCTTAATACAAATAGTTACCTTCTATCTGCGTTAAAATATAGCCTTGTTTGAAAAGATTTAAGACAATGGCTGTTCTGTTCAATGGTCCACTCCTTCCAATTTTCAAATCCCGTTTTCCAACGTTATGAAACCTAAACTATAGGGACGTTTTGCTCAAAGAACTTCTCGTGAACTTCTATTTTTGTGATTAGAAATTGGCCCGATCAGCAACTTGTGAAAGCCAAAATACGGCGAAAACTATATTTCTGTATTACAAATCAGTGACGTGTAGCCAAAGGGAAATCCACTCCCTCCCTTGCAAAATATTGGGGCCCCTTAGTAAAATTCTGACCAGTACAAGCATGTGCATTATATGAATTTTTTTTCTGTGTCGGTGTAGTGTACTCAGGTGAATATGATATTTGTGGTGTTACTCTGAGTGAATATCCACACCGGGCGAGCTTGAAAAACATGCCCGGCCACGGTGGGATTCGAACCTACGACCTTTGGAATACTAGCCCAATGCTCTTCCAACTGAGCTACGCGGTCAGGACGGTTCGAGTATGCGATATGTCGGAACTGAGTCTAGTTCCTTCGATATCAGTGTAATCTAATAATCATGAAATCTGCTGTGTTGGTGTAATGTACTCAGGTGAATAAGATGTTTGTGTGATGTTACTCTGAGTGTATATCCACACCGGGCAGGCTTGAAAAATATGCCTGGCCACGGCGGGATTCGAACCTACGACCTTTGGAATACTAGCCCAATGCTCTTCCAACTGAGCTACGCGGTCAGGACGGTTCGAGTAAGTGATATTTCGGAACAGTATCTAATTCCTTCAATACCAATGTGTTCTAGTAATATGAATTTTTTGTGCTGGTGTTGTGTACTCAGGTGAATAATATGTTTGCGATGTTACTCTGAGTGCATATCCACACCGGGCGAGCTTGAAAAATATGCCCGGCCACGGTAGGATTCGAACCCACAACCTTTGGAATACTAGCCCAATGCTCTTCCAACTGAGCTACGCGGTCAGGACGGTTCGAGTAAGTGACATTTCGGAACAGAATCTAGTTCCTTCAATACCAATGTATTCTTGTAATATGAATTTTTTCTGTGCTGGTGTTGTGTACTCAGGTGAATAATATGTTTGTGATGTTACTCTGAGTGCATATCCCACC